GGGTAATTAGAAATGAATGCAGCTGGATTATTTTCCTATTTGAAGGCTTTGCTGGGTTGAGAGCAAGATCTGAGCTGATGCTCAATCCTGTTGAGAATTGCCACTGTTTAGTATGATTTGTTCACAGTTAACTGTGTACTTGGCTGTTCTGTAAGAACTTATTTTGGTCAAATTTCTTAAAGTAAAAAAACCCCAAACAAAATGTATAATTTCTTCTCTGCATTAAAATTAAGCATGCAGAATTCAGGTTCCCACAATCCTATCCAAACCCAGAATGTTAACTTCCCATACTTTGATGGATGGGAAATAAAACACAAATAGAAAATTAAAATCAATTGAAATCACATTTTGTGAATTATTGTCTTTTGCAACAGGGAACCAGCCTCTAATAATGCTTCCTAAGAGAGGAGAGTATTTGCTAAAGGATATCAGTCGATTGGGAAAGTATTGCCAAGTGCCTGTGAATTCACCGAAGGATTTGGTAAACACTGTGATAGTGAAAGGTAATGAAAGAGATTGTTTTCTCCAAATTGGTGCCAGTCAGGCATTTTGAAAATGATGGTTTCTGCCCACGTGTGGGACGTCAGGAAGTAGAAAGTCAAAGACATCCTTTTAAAAGTAAGGGTGTGTTTGTCCCCTTTTAGCATTTATACAGCTTCTCTAGTGCGTTTTTGTGTACGTCTCTACTGTCTACAGGAAGTCTGCCTGCCATGCGTTTCATCACTGCTGTGGATACAGCAGAACCTCAGTTTTTGGAGTCTGTTTCTAGAGAACTCTGGATGCGCATTTGGTCCAGGGTAAGTATTGAGGTCCTGCACAGATATGCATCTCTCTTGGCATTTCTCTGTCCTTTCAGAGGATCACTTAAGCGAGAAAGTTGAAATCATTTTAATGAAGCTTCCGTGCATGTCAGTCAACTAAGCCAAACAGAGAACTATATGGGGGCTCCAGAAATTTAAATATTCTTTAAGACCCAGTTAAATGAATAAGGTCGTTTGGCATTTCAACTATTTCTTTTCTCTCCCTATTTCCCGGCTAGGTTAAATTAGGGAAATTGGACTTATTTGTCCAACTTCATTTAGACAAGCGCCATTGTTGTCCTTCATGGTTTTTGTTTAGTTTAGTTTTCTTATCTCACTGTTTCCCTGACCCATCTTATCCACAAGCTTTATTAATCAGTTACCATTTTTTTGTTTTATTAATCAGTTGCCATTTTTTTGTTTTTCCAGGATGAAGACATAATTCAGCCAGAAAGTATATTGGCAGTAAGTGTCTGCTCCTCCTCATGTTCTTCTCTTGCTCTTCTCCTTCAGGGCGGCTTAGATGCAAAAGGGCTGGTCTGTGCTTCTGGCTGGATAATTCTGAAAGAAGTTTAAATTGGAGAGTGTTTAGATGCCTGTTGTCCTGAATGTGGAACTCTTGTAGGATTGTCCATGCAGAAGGGAAATTGTGTGCTTTGTTCTCTTCTTCAGTCTTTGAATTCTTTGAAGGATGTAGAAGTCTTTTATTCTTTTAAAATTAGCAAATTAGGAGAAAATAAGTTTGTCAGTAGCGTTTTCACTAGGTCTGGTGCATGGAAATGCAGTTTTCCTAGGCCTTAGAGTGACTATTAAGTCCCATGTAATCTGTCCTTTACTTTTGAAAAGAATTGTGTGCTACTTATATGGAATATTATCTCAAAATCAGTAAATACTCTGCCTGTTGATTCCCTCATTCCTAGAATCTTTAGGTAGAAAAGTCTCAG